AGAGCGAGATATGGGAGAGGGGAGAGAGGGGAACGAAAATATATGTATATATATACAATTTTCACGCATTTTATACATTTGCGTTTTTGTATAAAGTGAGAGAGCGAGATATGGGAGAGGGGAGAGAGGGGAACGAAAATATATGTATATATATACAATTTTCACGCATTTTATACATTTGCGTTTTTGTATAAAGTGAGAGAGCGAGATATGGGAGAGGGGAGAGAGGGGAACGAAAATATATGTATATATACAATTTTCTCTCGCTTTATACAAACACAAATGCACTTTATACACTTGCGTTTGTATAAAAAACGAGAGAGGCGAGGGATAGAACGAGAGTGGCGAGCGAGATTCACCAGGAGAGAGGTGAAATAGCAACAGTTTGCTATGGGGTACAATTAAATCAAACTATATTTATAGCATTTAATTTGAATTAATAGTTTGCTATTATATACAATTTTCCATAAAAAATATTGAGGAGATTTAAGATGTGATACTCATGTTTAAGAAATCATTTCCTCAATTAATTCGTCTGGAAACCTAACTTTAAAAATTATAAAGTTTGTGTTTAACAAGTTGTGTATTTTTGTCATGGAAGTGATTTTTTTCCCACCGATGGCTTTTAATTTATAAATAAATTATAAAATAATGAATAAGTCACCAACTATACTAAGATTCAATTAATATTTACTTGAATCAATCAAATACTTATCCTTTACTAAAGATTCCTCAAAGACTTTTTGTCATCCAAATATATTATTTTAATTTATATGATTGCACAAACTACAATAGTTGTTTCTTTCCCATGTAGATTCCCATGTAGAAATAGTCAAATTACATTTGTGTAAGTTAATTAGTTATATTATGCAAGATAAGGAGCTGTTTGTATTATCTTGAAATTAAAATAAAATGTATTTATCATCTGAACAATCTCTTCTATATTCCAAACATTACTAACTAAAACAAACACAAATATTTTTTCCTTTTTATATTGTGGCTGAGCTTCTAAGACGTCGAAAAATATGTCCCCACGTGGCATTTTTCAAAGAATATCCATTTGTCAAAAGTCGCCAAATAAATCATTTTTATTCCTAAATCTTATACGTTTTCACATTATAATATGTGTAACATGATTTAATTAAAATAAAACATTTTTATTACTATTTCCATTTTAATTCTTTTGTCATAAATTAATAAAGTAAAAAATTAATTAATTTTAATTAAAAATATATTAAATATATCAAAATATATTATAATCTTGTAATCTTAAAAGTGTCATGTGGAAAATTCATAAATTTTATTTTATAGGAACATAAATATTAATCTTTAAAAACCTTGATTTTATTATTAAGTTCATTTCGAGTTAAACTATACTCCATTTTAACAAATTCAATCATAAAAATAAAAAATATTAACAAAATTAAGTGAATAAGTCAAATTTTATAATTTAGTAATATCAATGGAAGGCTTTTTGAGTTCCCAATACAATGGAGATTTTTCTTTAAAAAATAAATACAAAACATTGAATACATCAAAATATTTCATGAATTGTGGCAAAATAATTTGAATTTCTCCATTATGAAATCTCAAGTATAAATTTTGAATATATAATGAGTATTAGACTAATCGGGCTCCAATATCAAAATTCATCACTAGCAGATTTTTTTTTTTATAAAAAAAATAGTTCCCTCAATCCTTAATTAATGAAAAATAGTGGAGTAATTAAAAAATAATAGCTTATCCTATTCTTAATCAAGCGTCTCAAGTTTAAATTTTGAGTATGATTTTTTTGTTTTTGAAAGAGCTTCTTAAATTGAGTCATACAATATACAAATACGAATTTAGATTAATCAAACTTCAATACAATTTTCCAAACACGAAGCGATAAAGTAAAAAAAAATAGTTCACTCAAATGAATGGCGTTGGGCCATAAACGTAGGCAGCAGAATCCACAATTTTCTCTTCTCTATATATACTTGTCTTTCTTCCTCAACGCCACATATTCTCTTCTTCCATTTCTATGTCCTCGAGTTTTCTCGGATCACCATTTCCAATTATACCACTTTCTTCTCCTCACAATTCCTTCAAGCTTTCATCTTTAACAATGGCCGCTTGTATTCACGCTTCAAGGACCAAAAATCCCCAAAAAAATCCACTTATTCGTGACCCAAACAAGCCCCAAATCGACAACCATGTCTACAATTACGTCAAATACTGCCGACCCACTTTCCCTGACCTTGCTTCCTGCAAACCCATTTCAGAAAAAAGCTCGAAAATTGAGGAATTGGGAGATGAGCTCTGGCTGAAGATGAAAGAGGAAGCTAGGTCAGATATTGACCAAGAACCAATTTTGTCTAGCTATTATGTTTCTTCAATTCTAGCTCATGAATCCATGGAGAGAGCTTTAGCTAATCATCTTTCTATGAAATTGGGTAATCCTAATCTTCCTAGTACTACTTTGTTTGATTTATTTGTTGGGGTGTTAACAGAAGAAACAGATATAATTAAATCTGTTAAAGCTGATTTAAGAGCTGTTAAAGAAAGGGACCCTGCTTGTATTAGTTATGTACACTGTTTCTTGAATTTTAAAGGGTTTTTAGCTTGTCAAGCTCATAGAATTGCACATAAATTATGGTCTAAAGGGAGGCAAATTCTTGCTCTGTTAATACAAAACAGAGTATCTGAAGTTTTTGCTGTTGATATTCATCCTGGTGCTAAAATTGGTAAAGGTATTTTACTTGATCATGCTACTGGTGTTGTTGTTGGTGAAACTGCTGTAATTGGGAACAATGTTTCGATTTTGCATAATGTAACATTAGGTGGCACTGGTAAAGCATGTGGGGATAGACATCCTAAGATTGGTGATGGTGTTTTGATTGGTGCTGGAACTTGTGTTCTTGGAAATGTTAGAATTGGAGATGGGGCTAAGATTGGGGCAGGGTCTGTTGTGTTGAAGGAAGTTCCGGCGAGGACAACCGCCGTTGGAAATCCGGCGAGGTTGCTAGGAGGGAAGGAGAATCCAAAGAGACTTGATAAGATACCTAGCTTCACTATGGATCATACTTCACATATGTCAGAGTGGTCTGATTATGTAATATAAAGTTGACAACTTTGAGTTTTGTTTACTATTGTTTTAACTTTTTATTTGATTAGTTAAAAGCTACGTTGCTCGGACTCTCTTAAAATGTTGTTAGGACACGGACTGAGCATTTTTGAACAATTCGAGCAACGTAGGTGAAAAGGTCCTGGAGGAATTTTAGTTTTAGGGAGAATCCAAGTTCTCTTAAATGCATAGATGTTGTAACATATACCTTTTATGGTAACTGGTTTAAGATTTAAGAGATTACTGTACTAGTTTACTTGATATAGCAAACAGTTCAGTGTTGGATGAATTATCATCATGTTGGTATATGTCTCATAGGAGTAATTGCTTAAGTTCAAATGTGGACAGGTTTTGTAAGTTCAATTGAACCTATTGCTTTCGACTCGAACTATGTGTACATATTATAAAATAAATTGAAATGTATACATGTAACTTATTGTTACTTGGCAGTTGGCATCTATCTTTCTTTGTTCTTTCTACTGTTATAGTTGCAGAATTATGTACTCCCTCCGTTTCACAAAGAATGACCTCCTTTCCTTTTTAGTCAAGTTTCAAAAAGAATGACCTCTTTCCTTTTTTGGTAACATTTTACTTTTTGCTTTCCACGTGGCATGTTTAAGACCACAAGATTAAGGGCAATTTTGTACATTTTACATAACTTTAATTTAGGATCACAAGATTCAAAAGTCTTCTTTATTTACTTAAACTCCGTGCCAAGTCAAACCAGGTCATTCTTTGTGAAACGGAGGGAGTACATAATTCTGCAACTATAACAGTAGAAAGAACAAAGAAAGATAGATGCCAACTGCCAAGTAACAATAAGTTACATGTATACATTTCAATTTATTTTATAATATGTACACATAGTTCGAGTCGAAAGCAATAGGTTCAATTGAACTTACAAAACCTGTCCACATTTGAACTTAAGCAATTACTCCTATGAGACATATACCAACATGATGATAATTCATCCAACACTGAACTGTTTGCTATATCAAGTAAACTAGTACAGTAATCTCTTAAATCTTAAACCAGTTACCATAAAAGGTATATGTTACTTCTTCGCGCGTTATTTTCTCGTTTTCCTAACTTGTTAGTACTTCTGCTGGAAATTCAATGAAAGGCTTATTGCAAAATTTTGTTGTCTTGAACTGCTTGATACATCACACTGGTGCTTGCACAACCTGTGGCAGATTGAACAATAAGGTTCACAGGTTCTGCAGAACTAAAATGTATCGCTCACCGCTGATAAAATGTTCTGAAAGAGAGATAACAGCCATAAAGATCCAATCTTGGATGCTGCAAAACATAGAGAAAGATTTTTCTAGCTGTTACTTTCAATGAAAGAACAAATTTTATTTGCCTGAAAAGGTTGAAACACCACTAGAACCAGAACGAACAAGTTTAAATTCTGTATTCGTCTATGGATGAACATACGTACCATGAGGACAGCTTTGATATATTGTTACGCGTCAATGGAACATCAAGATGGCCTTCTTTCTGAATTCTTAGAAGAACATCAACTGCATTTGCTCTGTTTTGGTGTAGGCTTTTACTCTGTTTGCTCATTAATAATATGTTCAAGTATCGCGTCGATTCGTTTATGAATTTTCTCATATAGTTTGATTGAAGGGTAACACTAAGTAGCGAAATTCCTGGCTTTACATATATATTTTTGCTCTGGGTGTAACTCTAAGTAAGCGTTTGGATATGAGCGCGATCTGAACCCAAACACCTACTTAGAGTTAGTGAGTTCAGAATGAATGTGATCTTATTACTTATGTATATATCTTAAATATTTTTTTTGCATATGTACATATAGGTCGAGTGGAAAACAATGAGTTCAGTTGAAAATACGCTGGAAATTCGCCTGTATGTTATAAAAATTAGAAAAGAAACAATAAAAGCTTGTACCTTCTTATTTCTACAGAGTATTTGGAATCTTGAAAAGGCATCCTTAAACCAGACACAATAAAATTTTGGCCCAAGAATGTAGACATCTCAACATTTTATTCAGAAAAAGCAACATGTTAGATCTCTTGACTTTTACCATTTTAACCTTAACGTCTATCTGCAGTAGGCATCGGAGTAGATCTCTACTAAGCAAAGAAAAAGAAAGGGGGTGCGGGTCAAATCTGCATCTTTGCGCCCTTTACTTACTTCAAGGGATGGTGCGTCTGATACATGAACATCATCGGTAAGATCTCGAGGCTTACTGGACGAAATTCGATCAAAAATGAAAACTTTGGATATTTTTTAACTAATCAGGTTTATCCATCTAAGATTAAAAAGAACAAGTTGTTATTTAGGAGAGTGACATTTAACCATATTGATAATTATTGGACATCTTTTCTTAAGGATTTAGTGAATTGAACTCCAAGTTTTTGGTTATTACTTCACACTAATGCAATCAAGAACTAATTTGCACACATATGTATATTTATATATATATGCAAATATTGAATGAAGATATAAACAACATACATTAACAGTAACAATGATCATGAAGATCAGTTTCTTATTAGCATTTTCAATTTACATTTGTCTATGCATGGCAAAAGATAGTGATAATCTCTATGATGTTTGTCCTACCGATACAACGCGTAAGAACATCTTCATAAATGGTTTTCCATGCAAGAATCCAGCACAAATTACTGCTTCTGATTTCAAAAGCTCTGTTTTGAGCAAGGAAGGTGACACGGATAACTTTCAACGTTCATCGACAACATTAGTCACTGCTGCAGAATTTGCAGGACTCAACACTCTCGGGTTATCTGTTGCCAGGACTGATCTGGATGTAGATGGCATGGTAATGTTGAATCGTGTGAATTATCTCATCTAAATGTTTAAACTGTTAATGAAATCACACTTTTGGATTACTTAATTTGTATTATATATGTCTCCATATGCCCCTCATGCCTGCTATTGTACCATATTGTTGAATTGTTTGAATCATTTCATCTAAACGTGTAAGCTGTTAGAAAGAGCACACTTTTAATAACTTATAATATTATATGTCTCTATGTGCCCCTCTTACCTGCTCTGATACCATATTGTTGAATTGTGTGAATCATTTCATTAAAGCTTACGTTCTTTTGGCTGCTTAATTATACTATGTTTCCGCAGATAATGCCACATGCTCATCCACGAGCTTCCGAGATGATGTTTGTTGGCAAAGGAGTGGTGATTGTTGGATTTATCGACACGAAAAGCCAAGTGTTCCAAAAGACTCTTAAACAAGGTGATGTGTTTATTGTCCCTAGAGGACTTCTACATTATAACTTGAATTCGGGGTTCGAATTAGCCACTGTGTACTCAGTGCTAAGCAGCCAGAATCCTGGTATGTTGAGTATATCTGATGCAATGTTTGCACCAGTTCTTTCGGAACCCATGAGGGACTTGATGAAGAATCTGTTTTCGCGTTCAAAATTGGGAACGAACCAGATTAAAAATGTGACATCGTTTCGTTGTTAAACTTCATAACTTCGAGCATTTTCGTTTCTAGTATAAAACTTGTGCCAAATATTTATGACAGTCATCGCGAAATTTATATGTATATCTGTACTGTATATGACTACTGAATATTATCTTGTCTTGAACTTTCAATTGTTTCATCAGTTTATGATCTTTTCATTTGTCTTAATACTGGATTTACTTTGACACCACGTGACGTGAGACACGTGACCAATCATCAACAGAGGCAGACTCAAAATTTGAGGATCGCGGAGACATCATTATCTTAATATAAACGCTAGCAAAACTTTCAATAATGATTGAGGGATAATGTCGTGTCTGACTAGTCATTAATGGCGTAGTCGTCAGGTTTGTGCAAAACATGCAAACTGATGCATTTTCGACTCGTGGACAAATCACTTTTGATATGCATAACTTTTTCTGAAGTTAACGTATGTACGTGCACCCTACTTGGATATACGCCCCACATACAGTGTAAATCCTAATATGTTATTCACCTATATAGGACTTGATTTTTTGCTGTTGATATACATATATACGTATGTGATATACGTTGATACATATTTATGTACGGCCTTAATAGTTCTATAGTAGTAACATTTTTGACCTAGATCGGAGCATCTACCTATAGAAAAAATAGATACACTCTCCGTCTTAATATATGTGACACTTATTTCGATTATTGTATTATTTTGTTGTTATTGTTGTTTTCAGCATGACTTCTTCAGTACTGTATTTTCTATTCATATTTGATATGCTTTAATTGAGTTAGAGGTTTATCGGAAACAACCTTTCTACTTCCACAAGATAGGATGAGGTTGTATACACACGTGACATCACTCTATCTAGACCCCGTTTATGAGATGCATGTACTCGGAATGTTGTTGATCGGTAATGACCATACGATTAACAATCATATAGAATACATCTTGGTAAAAAGCACACCATATATGAATCTAACGATAATGTTCAGATCAACTTACTTGCACTTCAACTTATTTATAGTGTGACTATGTAGCATCTCCCACCATTAAAAAAAAAAAGATTCGAGAAACTTTGACCGTGAATGTTCATTTAGGTATATACTCCCTCCGTCCCTAATTACTTGTCCACTTTTAAATTGGCACACCTATTAAGAAAATAATTAATGACATACTGAATTTACCATTTTACCCTTATTAATTATGAAGTGGATGATTCTACATTTTTCAAAATAATTAGTCATTTAATTGAGGGTATAATAGGTAAAAAAAATTGTCCTTTCTTGATTTGTCAAAATGGACATGTAATTAGGGACAACTATAAAAGGAAAAGTGGACAAGTAATTAAGGACAATGGGAGTACTTCTCTTCTATTTTTTAATTTTTTTAAAAAAATTATTCAAATTTTGAAGTTTATACTACTATGTTATTCTCATGAAAACAATAAAATACACATACTTTGAGTTTACCACAGAACATATTAATGAATGCACATAATATTGTACTCATATATTGGACAGAGCCAGAGAAATAAGTGCCAATTTTTTGGGGGAAAACTAGCTAATTAAGGATATCACTTCCCAATATCCCATCGACATTAACTTCTCATTTCCCCTAAAAAAATTTTTTTTTTTTTGGTACAATCTCATTTTCCCCAATAAATTAAAGAATCTTTTGATATTGGTGATATATATTGAGAAGTAGAAAGGACACAAAAAAAGAATGAACTATGCTCTTTAATAAGAAAGAGAAAATCATTCGATTATATTCACATTTTCTATCGGTCTATCCTAGTTAACTTTTCATGTTCTATATCCACATACTATAATTATATTCAAATTTTGATTAACCATCATATCATGTCTAATCACCTCGTTGACGACTTTTTCGAATTATAATATTGTGGTTTCAAATCAAGTTCACCTAGACATTTTGTCATTTTGCTTTTTTTGGTATGGTCCTTGGTCATGATTTTGTCTTTAGATAAAATAAGATTTAATTCATTTCTTGGTCGACACTCACATCCAATAGTTGACTTTTCCACTCCCATTAACAAGATGTTTGTTTAATTTAGAGAAAATGGTCTAAAACCCCCCCAACCTATACCCGAAATCCCAACTACACACTCCAACTTCACGGGTGTCCTATTACCCACCTGAACTTTAAATTTCTATATTTTCTACACACCTAAGTGCTGACCTCAACACATAAACCAAATAATTTGACCTGCGTGATTCCACGCGCTGGGTCCCGCTCCTATTCAACTCCCATTTCTTGTTTTTTCCCCCAATTCCCTCCTAAAACGTAAAAGAACAGAAAAAAAATTCTCCAACCCGATTTTTCAATCCTTCTTCATTAGCAATGCATTTCTGGTGATCATCAAACGAATTTGCTATCATCAAACGATTTTTCTGTGTATTGTCAACTTCATTTCGTAGTTTATCAACTGATTTAGTAAAAGGTTAGTTCTTTTATCCCTTATTTCGAGTTTGTGATTTATCCCCTAGGGTTTCTGTTGATTCGTGAAATTAAGAGCAACATTGTGTGAAATCTTATGTGTGGCTTACGATTATAGTGTTAGGTGTTCATTTACACCATATTATGCCACATTTTTCATGAAATTAGGTTTTTCCCATTCTCATCTAAGTCGCGTAATTTTGTATTCTGTTCGTCTTAGTATTATGTTCATGGAGTGTTGTATTTATGTTCTTCTTAGTATTATGTTCATAGAGAAGTTGCTAGTCTACTATTGTGTTGTATTTATGTTCATAGAGAAGCTAAGTATTGTGTTGTATGTGTTGTATTCTGTTCGTTTTTAAGTA